CCTTTACAGCTACTTCACTCCAAACAAATCTGCTCCCAAGAGGGTGATTTCAGTCTTGTATGTTTAATTAGCTTTCAGATATAGATGAATATTTTCCAGGTTTGGTTTTATCCCAGATATGAATTCTTATAAAATAAACAGCAGTACTTTTTTAAAAAGACTAGAAAATGTTACTTTTACTTCCTGAGCTTTGTATATCCTTTGGCCAGAGTTCCATAGGTCAGAAAGCAATGCTTTTTCTGAGAGTCCTTAGTAAGAATTTTTTATGAAGAGTATAAAACACAACAAGTAGCATTTCATCCAAGTCTCTTTTACCCTGTAAGTATTTGCATTTCCAGTTGTGAGTCGTTGCTGTGGACAGCTTTGGCATGATGTAATTATGTCTTTTCCTCTCTTCAGGTTTTGTAAGTTACGACAATCCTGTCTCTGCACAGGCTGCCATACAGTCAATGAACGGCTTTCAGATCGGCATGAAGCGTCTGAAAGTGCAGCTCAAGCGCTCTAAGAATGACAGCAAGCCATACTGAGCGCCCCTGCCCTCGGGGACTGGAGTGAGAAGGATCTTCTGGTAAGTTGGAGAGGAGCGCACTTAGTGATTCGAAGCCCTAAGGCTGTGTTTTTACAGTCCTGGAAGCTGATCATGCCTTCTGTCTGGCGCATCTTCCCCTGAAGATTCGGCTGCAGCCTCGCTGAGAATCCCACTTCGGATGGAGGACAAGTTTGTGCTTTTGTTTCCAGTGTTTTACTTTGGAGTTTAGGTGCCATATCACTGAGGTGTTTTGTTTTTTTGGGTGGGTTTTTTTTTTTTTTTTGGGGGGGTGTTTATTTTGTTTTTTTGGTTGTTTAGTTTTTTTTGTTTTGTTTAGTTTTTGTTTTTTCCCCTTATTTGAAGTTTGCTGTGTTTGTAACCAGTGTGTGTTGAGAAGGACCAATGCCAGCTGCTTGGGGGAGGGAAGGTTAAAGGGAGCAGCAGAAACTGACACCACACTGCCTTGGGGTAGAGAGGACAAGGGGAAGCAGAACTGACACTAAACCACCAAGCGGGGAGAGGACGAGGGAAGCAGAAATAACACAGAACAGCTGATGAAAACAAAGTTGAGGAAGGAGAACTGAGTCATCCAAAGTGGAGTGAGCAGAGAATGGACTCCATGTAGCCTTTGTCATGCCCCATCCACTCTTTTGAGATTTCCTTCACTGTATGACATGGTGGGGATTTATTAAATCATCTCTAAAGCAGGAGTCAGACTAGAACACATTAACAAGCCAAAGGAAAACTGCAGTGATCTTTTTTTGCTGTATATAAAGTAGTGTTTATATAGCACTGTGAATGTACACAGCACTTTATAAAATGAATAGATCATGTTCCTTCCCAGAAATTTTACTATCCATTTACAGTTGAATATTAATGACATGCAGTGAATGTCTCTGTATTTAAGAAAACTTACCTTAAGTACTTTATCTAGATTTTGTGGAAAGGTATATAGAGACAGCTTAGTCTGGATGAATACACCAGGGTATGGAAACAAGAAACTTCTGATTCCTGGTAACCTGCATAATTTTTTAATTATTTTTCTTCTTAACAGTTCATCATATTCCCCATTTCTGTGGAATAATGTCCTTTTCTTTGCAGAGTATTTGAATTCATTCTGATAAACATAATGTAAGTGCTGTTTGTTTCTCTATTAAAATAACTTAAACTGAGATACAAAGCCCAGAGTTAGACTAACACAGCTCTTGAGGCTCTTGTTTCATTCATGTTCTCAGAGGATTTGGTATCTCTGTCTTAAATCTTTTAGCAAAGATAATTTTTTCTTAAAACAAAAGATGAAAAAAAACCAACCCAAACAAGCCAGAAAACAGTTTTTAAAAAAAGACAAGCAGTTTGTGCAGTGATTTGGTCTAGTAATTAGTTATTTCTTTATACTGCAGTTTTCCTTTAAGATGGTGTGTGCCAGTGCAAAACAAGCTAACACAAGAGCCAGGGTAGAGCACTGAGCCATTCAATCTTATTCTGCCTTTTGGTACTATCTGTTATCTTCTATATTGAAGGAAAATTGAACACACCCCTTCAGTGAACACACTTTTTCTGCACACTTGTGAAACTGCTAATTTCCTTGCTAAGGGCCTTTGTTATACACTGGTTTTAGGGGGCTCAAAGGACTTTTGACACTCTGGCCTGAGTTGTTTTAAGTAATCAAGAGTGGAGTCCCATTTTATGGCCACCAAAATTCACCTCTATCCCGAGAGGAAGTTTACAATTTCTGTACATCCTTAACAGAAGTTCCATTTACCTCATATTTTCTCCTTGTCCTTGTTTTCTTTGTATTCCTGGTTTGTGACGCTGTTTCCCAAGGCACCAGCTAACACTGCAATCTGGGAACCAGCTGCTAAATGCGTGTGGGTCAAACACGGGGTTGGGACTTTCTGTTCTGCTCCAGCAGGAGGAGCACTAAACCCATCAAACCTGAGATCCCTTTCAGAATCAGCACCCATGTGAGGTCATCTGTTGGGAATGTTGAGTGTTCTAAGGGACTGGGTCCCCTGAGATCTCAAACCTCAAAAATACAAGGCCTGACCTGTAGCATCCAAGAAGACCCATTTCCATTCTTAGATTGAAAATCAAACAGTTAGTTGATGCCAATCTGTCTCTATTGATGGCAGATAGGTAAATCTAGCAGTATTGTTAAAACTATTTTGTGGTGGCAAAGATTCAAAGGCCAGATTGCCAAATTTCCCAGTTATGCTGGCATATGGTACCCTTCTATGTTAATTATTTGAATCTCCTAGAAACATAAACATACATTTAAGTGAACCATGTACACTTGAATTCTGCATGATGGGAAAGATGTGTCCTGGTTTTCTGAGAAAAGAGTGTTGGAGTGTGAAGGCCTCCAGGGTGATATGGGAATTTTTTTAAAATAAATAATATACTTTTCAAAAAAAGAAAAAAAAAATGAAAAAAAAAAACCACAACACAAAAACAAAACCAAAAACAAGACATAGTTGGGAGCATCTGCTCCAAGTGCAACCTGCTGTAACCAAGAATGTTGTTTCTATTTTTATAGAAGTTTTATACTGCTCCAGGGTGGAGAATATTTATTGCCTAAATTATTTCACTGGAAAAAAAAAAAGGCCAGGGTTTTGTAGAATCCTGAATGTGATTGTTTTACACACATAATGATGTGCATGATTGAAACTACTGATTTTCAGTGGCCTGTTTGCAGCCCAGCAACTGCTAAATGGGAAAGACGAACGCTGTGAACCAGTGGAGGAGAGCACTGTGCTCTGGGGTCTCTACAGTCACTCTTAGCTTCTTTGCACCCTACCCCACTGTGCTATCCAAGATCTTTGTCCTGTTTTTCTTTTAACCTGATGGTGTGGCCTCTTGACTAGTCCTTTCAGTTACCCAAAATTAGATACTTCAGTTTCTACGTCCTATAGTGTCCTCAGTTCTGTAACTTTGGGATCAAGCTTGGCATTGTTGCAAGTAGGTGCAACTCCTGCTGACTTCAGGAGATTCACCCGTTTATGCTGTGGTGTAGTTTGATCAGTGACTCCTCCCAGACATAATCACCTTAAGACATCTAACTTGAGCTAGTTCTCGTGCCTTACTGGCATAACTATAAGTATTGCCAAAAAGAATCTATGCAGGTTAAATTTTAAAATGTGACCATCAGATGGTTTGAATCAATGCAGTTCTGCCCTCTTCAGTAGACCTGCATCAGTTTTCACCAGCTGAAGATGTTGCCCTTTTTGTGTATTTGTTTCAGATTTCCCTTTCTTCGTGTATCAATGTATATGTTGCCAAAGTTAATAAATGTATCAAGTTTGTGACTTGGGCAGATTTTTTTTTCTGATAACAGAACTGATCAGATAAAGTATCTGTTTGGTGGCTGCTGCTGACTCTGTAGATTTAGGCTCTTCTTGGCTTCCAGTTTTAAGCCATTTTTCTTCCTCACTCATTGGCAGGAAAATCTGGGATTTCGGGGACTTGGGGCTTTTACCTTTAAATTTGTTTTTAATTACTATCACAATCTCATTCAAGCCCAAATCAAATCAGTGTTAAGTGCTTTACTTTCTGGATAGTAGGGTGAGTTCAAATAAACTGCAGAAGGATTGGCTTAAGTAGCCACATGAACAAAGTATTCTGTATGCTCATAAACCAAAGAATCTGTGTTTTCTACAACAAAAGCTGGTAGGACTTCTGATGAAATATAATTCCTATTACATGTGCCACTAGAAAGTACTTAGGTATTTTTAGAAGCAAAATGGAATGGTCTGCTTCACAGATTTCTTTTTTTTTTTTTTCTCAGAAGACATTTGATTTTACTAGATGTGCCATAATAAGATGGAAGCATTATGAAGAATTGAAGTCTTAGTCTAATGCTAGTTAGAAACAAGTACTATAATAAACAAAATCATAGATTCTTTAGTCCCCTAGTTAATGAACAGTCCTAAATAGGATATCTCTTTGTAATTTAGGGGCTTTTCTATCAGTAAGACAAAGCTTATATCAAAGACATCTTCTAATGATGTGTAGTGATTAAATTTTAATCCTAAACAGATTGAGAATTGGAATTTTTCTGAAGTATTTGAAACAATGATTGTGAATCTATCTATATTTTAATGGTTAGGCAGTTTGCTAGGTGTAGGTTCTGCTATCTGGAGAATAAGCATCTCAAAATTTATCACTGAAAAATACATCTGTAAGGATAAAGCTTTTCATTGGAATACTAAAGGTCACATAGCATGATAGATTCTGCTTGCATGATAGAATTAACTGAAGTGTTTCTTGTTAATGGCTGTGAGTTAGGGGAAAACAGCCAAGCAGAATGAAATTATTCCTATTTCATTGGGAAATACCTAAAAGCAATTTGGATGAAATGAATTGCAAACGAAGGGAGCAACTATGAACATGTAAAATGTTTTGAAAGCTTCTTGTTGCAAACATTTAAACATAAGGATGTTATACATCCCTGAGCACGCCTACCAGAAAATATTAGAAACAGAAGGCAGAATTATCACAGTTGTGAGAATAAAACGAGGACAAACTGGAACAGCTTTCCCAAGTCATTAAGTTCATATCAGCATCTCATGGCTCTGCTCTTGTAGACCAGTCCTTCATCAGGGCTTTAATGAAACTTAGTCTTTCCCTGCAAAATTGCTGAGCAAAATACTTGAAAAATCTTGGTCAAAAAAACCCAAACAAACAACAAAACCAACCAGACAAATCACACATAATTTCTGTGATGCATGCTTAGATGTCACTTGATTTCATGTCTCTTGGTGCTTCTCATGCCTCAGTGCATGAGGGATTTGCCTTTCTGCCTTAGGACTGAAACCTTACAGCTATCTGCAAACTGTTTAGAGTATTTCTAGAACTATAGAAATAACTGCAAGAGTTGCATTGTACTCTGTTTGCTGGAGTTGATTAAACTCCACACTAAGTCCTTTCTCTGAATTGGAAAGTAGGAAGAGCAAATTAATCTCAGCAGTTCTAATAAGTGGAGTGTTGCATGTTTAGTGGACAATGAGCTTCTTGTTGCTTTGTAATTAGAATGCAACAGTTGCTATTCTCAAACATACTATGAATGCTGCAAGATAATATACAAGGCTCACCTTGCTCTAGCCTCTAACCTGCAGTTTTAAGATGTGCTGAAGAATAAAGCCACAAGCATGGAGATAAAGGGGAGCTGGGGGCAAGGAGGAAGCATGGGAAAGGAGGAAGAAAAAACAAAAACGTGCTTCTTCTCTCCCCTACCTCCCACATTCCTTCCAAAATGTTCCTTGTGTCTAGTAGTTCACAAGCTGAGGGGAGGAAGCAAAAGTATTTATATAACTTAATGTAAGAATTATTTTATTTATAAACTCCCATCAAACTGGCAACAGTGACTGTAGAGCTTCTCAGAGCCCAGAATCCCCTCCTCATGAAGTCAGGTAGCTGGAGGCTGTTTATATAAAATATTGGGAATGGAAAATCCCTGTGCAGGTCTAATAGTATGAAAAGTGCTCAGCTAGGACAAGTCCTAACCTTGCAGTCAAGTCTGAAGGAATTATTTTCTAATGTGTAAAGTTTTTGGTTCCATTTACTTGTATAATTTTTTTTTCTCCCCTATTCCAAATCACCCACTCCCCGTTTCATGGGCTCCTAGGGAATGAGAAGGGACTATAGCTGAAGGAAGGAACATGAATTTCCTGGGCTACTACTGCCTAAAAACTTCCCGTGTTAGGATGCAAGAAAAGTCTCAGCCGTCAAACCACCTGTGAATCCCTTGTGTCCTTTGTCTTGTCTCTCATGGTCTCAGTCTCTGTGGGCAAATGTTAGCCCTGGAGCCATATTTTTTCAAGTCAGTCTCCTGGGGAGGGAGCTTGCTCTGTTCTTCTCAACAGAGCTAGTGGAGACACTGAACACGGAGCAAGGTGAATGATGCAAATCAGTGTGTTGCTAGGCTGTGGGGTGCTCCACAGACTGGGTGTTGAGGACGAAATCCAGGCCTCTGCTTCCATTTGGTTTCTGGCAGTTTGATGTTTACTTGGTGTCCTTCATGTACTTCAACTTTACTTGTCCATCGTTGGCATGTGCTGCCCTTCCCTGTCAACTCCCTTCCCCAGGAGATCTCATTGTACAGTGCCCATTCTTGTTCTCTCTCTCTGTGTTTGGATGTACTGCTCTGTGTAACTCAGTGGGTCTCCCTCTTTCTGGTTTGTTTTTTTTCTAGATTCCTGCCGTTTGTTCATCGTTGTGCCTAAAGCATGTCGATGTGGCGTTCAAGTACATCGTCCAAATCCTTGTCTCTTCAGCTTCTCTGATGCTTGAACTCTCACCTTTGACCTTGTGTTGACCTTTGATGCTGATGTGTATTTTTATTACGTTTGTTTCTTTCTTTTTTTCTTTTTTTTTTTTTTTTTTTTTTTTTTTGTGCTGCCAAATTGGTTTTGCTAGAAAGACTGCTGAAGGGGAATATTTAAACTTGCATTTGAATATAAAAATTTCTATTTTTCTAGACCTTCGTAAGATAACCACTTGATTTTGTGAATCTGATTCTTTGTAATTGTCTTCAGAGCAGCCTTGCTAGCATACCTTGTGGAGTATTTGTATTTCTGTGAACATACAGCCAATCATTTTCTAGGCTTAGTTTTTTCTGTGTGCTTAGTTTTAAAAACACAGTTCTGAAGAAAAAGTCAGTTATATGGTGTGACTCAATCTTTCAGGAGACTTCCTTGTCACATTTTGCTGATCTGGTTTCTGTGCTTGAGGAGAGACAGCATGTGTTTTCATGAGTTCAAACTTGTGACTTGAGTGGCATCAACAGAAAACACTTGAACTACATTTTCTTCTGATTGTAGCTACATTTTTGCCGTGGCATTTATTGATTTATTTTTTAATTAGTATTTTTATTTTTTCCTCTGCTTCCCTGTGTGATTATCAGTCTGCAGTGAAAATTTGATCAAAGCTAATGTTGTATTTTGTTAAGCCCCAGCATGCTTGGTTTTTTTTGTAACTACAATCTCCTCAGCAAAATGTGATGTTTTTGTTTTAATCTTTCAAACTAAAATAGTGCCCAGAAATGTTCTGCATGTTTCCTGCTGTTTTCTTCACACCCTCGTATATATCACCTTCACCTCTCTGTTTTCTATAGTTTGTGCAAAAACTGAGCAATTTAATGGGTTTCGAAGGTATCCTTTAAATTGGTGATTTTGGTATGACAAATATCTGATCAGAAGCCACCTTGAGGGCATCTGCCTGTGCACTTAGACTGTCTGCCTGACAGAGCACCTGGACCTTGTTCCATCTCCAGTGCTGTCAGAGGCTCCCAGGGCACTTGGTTGCACTGTTCCTGTAGTGGAAGAGTTGGTTGAAAGGGATAGCTGGGGAACAGGGAGGTGGGGGAACTTCACAGTGTTTCTGCTTCCAATGTTACCTGAAGCTAACGCTCCTTTGAAACACTCTTTGTGAGCCTTTTGTACAATCCAGGGCACATTTTTTGTGAAGTCCAGACCCTGTTTGATACCATCAGTCAGACTTTGGTGGCAGGATCCTGGAAGGATCTAGGTTAGCTCTTGAAATAAAGTGTTTGAAATATCCCAGAGAAAGCATTTGTAAACCTGGTCCTACAACTACTGGCTCTTTTCCCAAGTTACAAGCACAATACAACAGCCTGTGAAGCTGTTACGTGAACAGGGTACCATCCCCAGCTCTCTTCTCAAGGGCCTTAGCTGGGGGATCTCTACGGAGATTTTTTAGTTTTTGTTTAGTTTTTAATTGGGTAATGAGCCAGTTTTTCTGGCTTGCAGGATTAACTAGAACAGGTTACTGCTTTCTGGGTAGCAGGCTTCCCCATACCCTACATACCATCTGCACAGGTAGAAACTGGGATGTAGCTTCTAGATGAAAGCACCTGAAGAGTGTGTGCTGTGATGAAGTTTAAGTCAGAAGGAGAAGCAAGCTAGTGTAGGTATCCTAACAGTAGAAAATAATGTGAAATTAAATCCCAGGAGAAGGGTTTTTGCTGAGAATGCAAATAGTGTTTAATCGGGATAATGCAAAGATACAAAAGGGTTTTCTCCTGTCCTACTCTTGAGTTGGCTGAGGATACTATATTCTCAAGAGATACTGGCTGGACTTGTGCAGATAGTCCTTAGTCTGCTTGTGAGACAGAACATATTTGGATATGGTTCATATACCTGGGAGTGAAGCGTGAGGCTGGATGAAAAAAGGATAGAGGCCTGTTTCTTGGGGAGGTAGGGTTATGGGCTGGCTGCTGTTAGTCCCACAGTCTGAATGCACAGGGCTGTGTGTCAGTGGGGGGCACCCCTACCCTGCGGGGTGTGGAGCAACTGCCAAGCCGTTCCTGCACACGCGCATTGGGTTCCGTAAGGAGCTTCGGGGAAACCTGTGGAAAAATATCTGAAGAAAACCAAAATGCCAAACTTTGGATGTTTCTTTCCTTTCTTCTTTCCTTTTCTTCCTTTGGTTGTTTTAATTGTTCTGTGGTGGTTTTAATGGATTTGAGACAGTGGAGCAGCAGCTGCCTTTCTGAATTTTGGCTGCTTTTTGTGAATAATTTAAAAAGAAAATTTACATTTTGGAGACAAACCTGTGGGCTTTTTTATTGGTACAAACATTGTATTTAACACTAGGGGTTTTGTACAGTTTTTTGCCTTTTCTACTAGAAAACAATGTAAAGTGATTCACAATGTGATGAGAAAACAAATTGCCACTCTGACCAAATGTAGAGTCTGTTCTGCAGTAATGGGATTTAATCAACTCAAAGTCGTGGTTCAGTCGTAGAAATGCTTTTCTTTACCTTGTTTGAGCTGTTCCTTTTTTTTTTTTTCCTGTTTTGATTTGCAAAACAAAACGTCTTTTTGTGTGAAATTGTGTTGTACTCTGTAGAGATTACGGATTTTACTTTAATGGTTTAAAAAGCAGAGGAGCACAAGTTGCTTTTCTGATTTGATCGCAGAGTTTGTGTAGTGGATTTAAAAATGAAAAGATTTGTTACAAGTTTGAAACGAGCGAGTATGTGTTAAAGGAATTTTCTTCCTTTTGTGTGTGTGTGTGTTTTTTTTTTCTCCTTTTTGTCCCAGAGGGCAACTTAAAGCTGTTTTAATTGCACAGACACACCGACAATAAGTCATTTTGTATATGCCAAGTGTGGTACCTTCCTTTGTTTATTTGCTATTAAACTGTTTGAGAAGAGTCATTGTGTGTTGTATTTGTGTCTTAAACTTGAGGTTCTTTTTGGGTCTAAGTGTGGGATGGTAAAGAGACAGATCAAAAGACTGTCTTTCCATTTCTTAACTGTGAGTCAAAAATTTGTGGCCCAATACCACTTGTTCTGAATGTATAATATAGCCCTGGGTTTTTAGCTCTATGCAGGTGAACTATTTTGAGTAGAAATGGAAAAGGTTTTTTGGTTGTTTAGCCTCCATTTTGTATAACCTGGTAGTCAAGTCCCCTCTAGACATTAGATACAGAGGAGCTGAGAATCTTGGATAACACAAATATGATACCCTGCAGAGTTAGGTGTGGGCATATCCAGCCTCACAGAACTGGTGCTGTGTGTGGCCACTAGCCTGCTCATGCACTTTGCTTCTTGGTGCTTTTAAGGGCTTAATAACTTTGGAGTAACACCAGACTTCAACTATTTAAGAACAACACATGTGCGAGGTAGTGTGTGGGATTTGATAGGCACCAGCTCATACTGCTCCTATGAGCCCCATTCCTGCCACTGCTCCCTCACCCCTTCCAGAAACACAGCCTAGCTCTCTGAACCAGTTCCTGGTTCTGTAGCATGAAGGTACCTGCAGTCCACAGTGCTCCTGGTCCTGGAAATACAACACAGTGAAAAACCAAATGGGTTGGGATTACTTACTAGCTGAGGTTTAGTGATAAGTGCAAGTTACCTGCTTTCCATCTAGAACTAAGATACGTTAACAATTTAAGATAAAAATAGTTGTAAAATTACATATCTTTTTTGTGTGGGCAAAGCATAATTAATCTAGAAGCTTGCCACAAGTTTGACATTAATATTACATCTCTCAGAAGGAAAGTACCACAATGGCCATGACTTCATCACATTTCTGAAAGCGCCTAAAATTCAGTGCAGTTACTCCTTCCTTCTGCTATCTTGCATCTCAGACACTTGCAAGTATTTTCAGGACAGTTATGTTTCTCCTCCATGTCCTTTTCCTCTGCTATCTGACGTACTCTGTTTCACCCCATTACTTCCTCCATGCCTGTAAATCTGAGAGCACTTTGCAAGCATCAGGATTCAGAGCTGCATTCCTCTCCCAGCAGCGCACCAATTGCCGAGTGAGGCACTGAGCCACCTGTTGCAGAGTATGCTGAGATCCCTGCAGCTAATTTGCAGCTGTTGAGAAGGGAGGCTGGAGAGATTGCAGTTCAGATATGTCTGAAGTGAAGGATGGAGAGAAACAATTGAATCAGAACAAGGGTTTGTTTAGGTGGGAGGGAAGATTCCTGCTTGTGCAACTCATCTTGTGCAATCAAAGCTCTGTCAGTTGCATCCTACAGAACTGGTACTAGATCCCTCTGGGTAGGTGGCTTTTCTATTGTTTGAAGGTTTTTTCTTTAATTTAAAAGCCACCACCAATAAGTAGGCAAGTAAACTACAAGTAAGAGCCAGTGTATTAATCTCTGAAATTCATCAGCATTTCACATGAGTTGTTATATTTATCAACATCAATAGGAAATATACAAACCCATAGATTAAGTCCTGATGTTGAATGTTTTAGGAGAAATTGTATTCCTCTCACATCCACCTCCACCTTTCACTACTTGTTTTGACTCCAGTCTCCAGTCTTCCTGACTTTACCAGCCTTGTTCTGCTGTCTTCACTATGGCCAGGAGTCACCAGGGATACATTATGAAAAGCAATGGGGAGGAAGACAAGCAGCTCAGTGTGGTCACTCTGAAGAAGTGACTGCATTATTAGCTCCACAGCATGACAGGTGAGATTCCCTGATTTGGTGTTTCCATGCACTTTGCAGGTTTACTTATTTGCAGTTCCTGAGAAGAAACTGAAGCGATTTTGAGCCACAGACTGATGATCACTCTGCAATTATTTTCTCAAAGCAGCAGAGGCAGTCAGTGTCTTGGTGATTCTACCCATCTACCCCTTTTTTATTTAGACAGCTGTGTTTGGCTCAGAGTCATATGTTCCATATCAGAGTATGTTTCCTTTTTTGAAAATGACCAATTTGAACTTGATGGTTCTAGCTTTTATTTTACTAGGATAAGTTTTTTATCTCAGTAGGTGAATGAGTTGATGCTTAAGAGATTAAGCACTGCTTCATAGATCTCAAAAATGAGGAAGTACAATATAATCAACAAAATGCTGAACAGATCACTTCTCTCCTGTTAGATAGGTCTTGTCAGACTACAAGGCATTCATTTCTCACTTTGCCTATTCTTTATGGGATATGAGTGAATATTGAGGGGAGCAGAGCTTTGGTGAAATGGTCCAAAAGCATCAAGATGAGTTTGAGTTACAGGCAAGCTACTTGTGGAGGCTGAATTTTGCAAAGTAGTCTGCTCCAGCAAATAATTATGTGAATTTTATTTTCCCCCTTTTTGAGTCCTGTCTTGATTATTTAATATTTGCTGACTCTGGCCTCCAGCTTCTACAAGTCCAGAAATCTGACAGCCTCACCATTATCAGTGCATTCCATGGGGACTGGTCTTCTGCATCTTCTGTTCATCCCACCACCCACGTCCAGTCTAGTTCCATATGTGACCTGGTGCAAGGAGGAGAGACTTTAAAATTCAGAATCAGATTTTTATGGAAGCCCTGCAGTCTCTATGTAGATAATTTTAGCTGTGCTGCTGAAGTGATTTTTTGCACATGAACCAGCTGTGCCTCAATGCTGCTTCTCTTCAGCCTTCTGTAGATTTTTCACAGTTTCTGCTTCCAAAGTTTCAGAGTACAGAATCTATGCTGAAACATCATCTAGCACATTGCAGCTCTAAAAAACACTGCTAAATTAAATAAGGCAAATATCAGAGAGTATATAAGCTTCCAAAAGAGAATCGGTCTGATTGTAGTAAGACTTCTCTACCATTTTAAATGCTTCTATTTTTTAAATAAATTTCTGAGGAAGAAGGTATGGATGGCATATTTTCAGATCATGACTGCTGTGGTGTAAAGCCTCTGGCTAGACTGTGATTCTTTTGTGTGTTGCTTTCCTTAGGGATATTACTTGAGGAAGGCTCCTTTGGGTGTGTGTTTTCTTAGAGAGATGTGACATAGGCCAGGATGTTCCAGCTGGTGGCCTGTGAGATGATTCTGTTGGTATTTAACTTTGCTTGGGGAAGAGCTGCCAC